GATCGGCCGCCGTCCCCGCCACTGCGCCTTCGTGTTCCGCGACCGCCGCGTCAGCAAGCGCCACTGCCAGCTCCTCTTCGACGCTTCCCTCCGCAAACTCTTCATCCTCAACGGCGTTCTGCTCCACGCCGGCCCCTCCGCCTCCGCCACCTGTCGCCTCGTCCACGAGTTCAGAAGAAGGGCGATGACGTCATCGCAGGGTGCCTGCGACGGCCTCGCGCTTCGAGAACCTTCCAACGGCGTTTTCGTCAACGGGGTCCAGCTCGGAAAGGGGAGGGCGGTGGAATTGTGTGCCGGAGATAGGGTTTCGCTGGTTTGCGAGAACGGTTCGTGTGGGATTGGGTTTGTTGTTGAGAGAATTGATTTGGAAGGGTATGGTGGCGAAATTGATGGGTTAACGTTCTCGGGGCACTCGCAGAGTGGGAAGAGGAACAAGAGGGTTTTCGCTGTGAAGGCTAATGTTTCAAGGAGTGAAGGAGTTGTTGGGAGGGCAAGGTTTCTTCTCGAAAGGTGTAGGGATATATTGCTTAATAGTGATCCTGTGACGCACATTAAGTGTGCTGAGGTGCAATCAAGTTTACAATTGTCTGGTGAAAGCAAAGTGAAGGATTTGGAGGGAAAAAGTGGCGGTTTTTGTGGAAGAGGGAAAGTGGGGTTTGATGTTGCTAATGAGGTTCCTAATGTGATGAGGGAGGTGGATTCTGTAGGGAAGGATAGTCATAATCCTCCTTCCGTTGGTGGTGACTGGCAGGGAGAGTGTAGCGGCAGCAACAATGGTGGCAATGGCGGTGTTTGTCCACCGCCTGGCAAGAATTTTTACCTGAATCGCCTTGAATTTATGAACTGCGACTCCTCGGCGCATCATCCCTCGATAACTCTCCCTGAGCTTATTCATCCTGTGGAGAGTGTTTCGAGGATGTTCATTGCAACGTTTACAAGTGACATAAAATGGTGTGGTTACCTAATGTTTTTCAATGTACTATTTTCCTTTTATGGTGCTCTCTTTTTAGGCCATTTTTATTTTCTATGGACTTGTGTTTATGTGATTGTGAATATCTCAATATAATGTGCGAACAGTTACACTTGAATTTGCTTATATTTTACAACCCTAAGTTTCTAACTGAGGTGTCCTTCTAGGTTCTTGACATATTGCAAGATTCCTTTTCATCTTCCAGTCACAATTGCATGCCACAATACTGAGAGATGTTGGAGTTCAAAATCCGATGAAAGAGTATTTGTGCCTTACCACAATTATCCTAACCTTGTTGTGGTGTAAGTGTGTTTTTTTCTTCTTTCTTTTTAATATTCTCTTGCTGTGAGGGAGATATGCAGCAGCTTAAATTATGCCTTTACTATATGCACCTTTATTTCTCCTATTTGTGAATAAACTTTGTCGTTGGATATTAGGTGTCCTCAATTCCCTGAAACCATAGCATTTGGTAATAACCGCAAGAGACAGGGGATTGCTTGCCATCACCCGAAGTTGATTGTTTTGCAAAGAAAAGATAGTATTCGAGTTGTTATTACATCTGCTAATTTGGTGGAAAAGCAGGTATTCTATTAACAAAACTTATAGTTATTAATATTGATACATGGTTTTTATCTAATAAATTGAAGAGCTAAATGTTGGTTCTGTGGTACGTAATTGATTAAATTTTTTATTTAGACATCAAATACCTGGTGGCCTATTGCCCTCATAGATGAAATGTTTCTAGCTTATGAGTATTAACAAACACTAAGAATAATAATACCGAAATACCTGTTTATATTAATACTCAGTAACTCAGTAATTTGAACTAAACAACATTAGAATCAGAACCCAATAGAAGGTATTAGCACATAGAGCGACACTGTAAAATATGCAGCACTTAGCAAACACCCCAGGTTTGCAGCTATCAGTCCTTCTCTAAGGTAGACGCCTTCCTAACCTCCTTTCCCCAAAATTCTTTTGCTCTCTTCTGAATCCCTCCCCTCCCCTCCCCTCTCCAACCAAAGATTGTCACCTTAAGTTCTGTTATTACACCCTTCATGCTTTCAGATCACCCTCTTGTTGTCCCAACCCCCTTCCTCTATTTTCCTCGAATAGACTTATTGTCTTTTTTATCCATTTCAATCAAGAGTAAGGACTGTAAATCCTTTTGTTAGTATCATACAAGGTTTACTGGATTTGGTTGTGACTTCAAAATTATAATGAATTCTCCTTGCACGCTTAAGAATGAAGACAGATAGCCAGATACACATATAATGAATAAAAAGTTATCATTAAATTTCATCTTGTATTGAGTATCCTATATTTTCATTATTCATTGACATAGTAATAGTGTTCTTTCTTGGCTTAATTTTTATATGCGAAAAACACTGCAAGATTTGTTTGGAACATTCATATAAAATAGAGAATGGACAAAGTAAAAGAAGACAAAAAAAAGTTTTGGAGTCCACTTCACTCGAATAAGTTAATTTATATGATACTTCAGCATAAAATCATTAGAATCCTTAGCATTATGCTCGTAAAATGTTTATATGTAAGACATCAGCTGCAATTCCCATGGTGTCCCTAATATAAACTTTGAAGCCTATAATTTGCAACATTTGTTTCCTCGTGTAAAATTTATGTATATTAGCATTTCTATAGGTACCTTTAATCATACTGATAGTGGGTTTACAACTATTATATGTTTGTATGTCATTAACAAGGTAAACTATTGATTAATTTTCATGGTTATGTAGTGGAACAGTGTGACTAACACTATATGGTGGCAAGATTTCCCTCACGTCATTTCTTTTGATTTTACATCACTTTTCCAAAAAATTGGTGATGCTGACATTCATCGAGGCTCAAAGTGTGACTTTGCTGCTCAGTTGGCTGGGTTTATGGCATCTCTTGTTAATGATGTACCCAGCCAGGCTCACTGGATTACTCAGCTGACAAAATATGACTTTGGAGGTGCAACAGGACATCTTGTTGCTTCTATACCTGGAATTCACTTTTATAAAACTTCTGTCCTGTCAGAATCTTTTCAGGCTTCTCCGGTAAGTACTCAAGTATGTCATGCAAGATATTGCTTCTTGAAGTGCTGCTTGAGTGCACTTGGCCCTGCCTAAACTATCATACTTTTGGGCTTTTAAATTTAATATTTGCAAACTGTATCCGCCTTGCTTTGGGTTGGAATATTATACCCTGAAACCCGACTTTTTGAGGTTAAGGTGATGCTTATAGAACATCTTAGTTTTTGTGTGAAATTCCAGCACTAATGTCAGCACATAATCATTTGGTGGCTTAGGTTATGCTCTGGATTTTTTGACTGCAATTTATACTCTTATATAGATGCCAATTGCTTTGCATTTTTTTTTTCTGGTTTGAAGGTTCTTGGTTCAGTTGTGGCATCTGTGGTTGGTTTGAGCCATCTTTTCCGTGCTGTGGCAGACTCAAAAAGTGCAAGACTAAGAGCACTAGCTTCTTTCCTTAGAAAGTCTTGTAAGAGTGCTTATGGGAAGTTGGAGATTGTTTTAAGAAGAAATCCCATTGTGTCTGTTGATGAAAATGCAGTTAGTGTTCTTGTTCCCAACCCAGATCGAACGTTTGATGGAGGTAAATCACGTTGCTTGAGGATTCTTTTTGCACCACATACATCGGATTCACCTTTCATTTCATTTTCCATTTCCTTTTTTAGAGATTTTATAATGTCTTTTGGGCTATTTTTATCGTTGTTTTGGACTAATGGTTAGACTTTTCATGCCATCCATAATGGTAATAATATCTTTTTTTTTCTTTCTACTTTCTGTAGATTGTGTTCAACTTGGTTTTCTGCCTAGAGATGTTGCAAAATGGGTTTCTCCTCTTTGGGATTCTGGGTTCTTCACGTTTTCTGGATATGTTTGTCCAAAAGAGGCACTTGCAGCTGCCTTAGGAGAAAACTGCAAGAAACTGCAACTTATACTAAATGTGTCAGAGGTGTGTTGGATGTGTCTTCTATAGGATGAACCGTTAGTGTTAGTTGCCTTATACATGTGACTTTGCAGGGGCATCATTTTAAAGATATGTCAAAGATGATGCAAGCGGAACAAATTGTGGCGTTTTGCTCACTCATTGCTTCAATTCAAAGATGTTATGGCCTTTGGAGATTACAAGAGGTAAATGGTGCCAGACCAAGAAGATATTTTTGCATTGACTGTGTTAAGATGTCTCACATTGGTTTGGAATTTGGCCAAAATGCCCATTATAAGACTTGGACATTTCTTCCCCTTGAGCCAACTTTTGGAATTGAGTTAGGCTTAGCTCATTTGAGTCATTTCTAATATGTTATGGGAGCCTATCTAATCTCTATGGTAGGCCACCTGCAAATGTCCAAACTTGTAAATTTCAGATGTCCTGTCTTTTATGTGAAGGGTGTTGCTAAGATGTCTCATATGGCCTAAGTACCCCAAATAAAGCTTGTGCAATTCTTCGCCCTTGAGCTAGCTTATTTGTTTAAGTTAGGCTTAACCCATTTCTAATTGATTGAAATAGTCACACTTAGTTTAGTGTTGAAATTAAGGTTGTTTTTATATTTATTATTTTAGTCTGGTTATCTTTAAGTAGTTACAAGTTTTTTTTCCTGTCACTCAGACACTGTTGATCTTGCTTGCAATTGAAGATGTTTATGCTAAAATAGCTTTTGAAAGATCCAATTATGAATAATTATTGTTTCATTTTGTACAAGGTTCTAAATCAATACAGATGGCCTGAATCATCGAAGTCTGAAATTATATACAGTAAGTGCGTTTTTTGAATATTATTGAGTATGATGCCAACCCTACTTCATTACAAGTCAAAATCAACGAGCAGACGTCATTGTTGTTTCATCCTTTTGGGCTATCAGGTGCATCTTCTATCGGTACATCTATCAATTCAAAATTCCTTGCTGCTTTTTCCTCTGCTGTTGGGAAGAAATCATTGCAACATTTTGATTCAGAAGAGTCTGATCCTGAAGTAATTTGAAGGCCTTTGCTCTTCCATTAGATTTCCTTCAAATGTTATACATCTTTTCTTCAAGATGCATGATTTGTTAATTATGTTTATTCATTTATTCAATAATTTTATGATGCTATGGCAGTGGGGCTGTTGGAATGCTAGGGAAGAACTGAAAAACCCTTCTGTTAGGATTTTATTCCCCAGTATTGAAAGAGTGAAGAATGCTTATAATGGGATTTTTCCTTCAAGACATATTCTTTGCTTCACTGAGGTAATATGATTCTCTTATCAGCTTTGAATGAGTAAGGTCAAATGTGTTTGGGAATATATATTTAATATTTTTCTTTAAGCTAGATTTCTTGGGTACCCTTTATTTTTATGATTATGCTGGATCACTAGTTTATGGTCAATATTTTGTCAAATGTCCCACTTAATTGAAATATGAATTGAAAAATAACTTGCTGTATTTATATTTTCAAATATGAACAGATGAACAGACATTAACCATTCGTTGTTTAGGTGTTACCAGCAGTACCCTAGTTTAAAAAAAGGTTTCCAGAGAAATATATATTTTTAAGGCATTCTGAACTATCAAGGACAGATTTGAGTCTTCACATGTGAGTTTTTTATGCGACAGAATCATGTGGAGGGAGAGGTACTCATACAAAGACTGCACAGGACAATTTGTAGGTCCCTATTTAGGATGAATCAGTCTCTCTTAAGATGTGAAAAACACATTTTCAAAGGGTTATTTTAAAGGGAATATATTGAGTCAGAAATGTGCCCTCCCTCCTCCAAGCCAATTTCAATTTCAAGAACAAAAGAAATTTGTTCAATGGTATTAAAATCTTTTTCGCATCACAGATGTGAATCCCATTTAGCTCTTGTCTTTCTTTTGTTATTATGGGATTTTTCTTTTAGAAATTCTCTCAAAATTATCTTAGGTAGGTGAACCTTTGACATTGTATATAGATGTAATTATGTGAGCAATCCATAACCGATTCTCTACTTTTGAACAGAAAACATGGCAAAGGTTGAAGACTTTAGATATACTTCATGATGCTATTCCACATCCACATGAAAGAATAGGGCATCCAATGCATGTCAAGGTAACTAACTATATACTGATTTCTACTCATGTATGTATTCTTGTTATGGAAAATATACTCGAAACTCAATAGTTGCTATATCTATTCTTGTTATGATGCTATGTGAATGAAGTCCCTTGTGTTGATTTGAGTTTGAGAGAGATTCAGACGCCTCTTTCCTTTGTGGCCTGCCATTTCCCATCTCTATTTTTTTTTTTTTGAAAATTGGCAACTAATAATCCTGAAATCTGAAATAGGACTGTTAAAAGATGACTTTGGATGGGTTCCCATTTTATGGGCACATGTGAAAATATTTCTGGCTTAGAGACTTTTGGTACAATTTGATGATTTCATTATAATCTTTAAAAAAATTTGGTTTATATACTATATATGCCATAACAGTGGTAGCAATGAGCTTGCTATGGAAGCTATAATTTATTTAATTTGTGAATCATTTATTTATTTTTTGTTTGGTTACATGGTATGCAATATTTATCATGCTAGTTTTTTGGTTATCTGTTGTAGTAATTATCAATGTTTTTGAGGTTCCCCACCATTTTCTGTCCTATCGTGCCAGTGCACCAGTTGTGTCTTCTTCTTTCTGAACATGACACTCATGATTCAAAGGAAAAGGACAGAATCCAAATCCGTCTGTAGGGTGACCTTTTATCAGTTTGTTTATCCTTTCCATTGCACAAGTGTATATTACAAATGTTATGAGGGAGAACCAACAGTTAAATATTCAAACTATTCCATACTACTCAATATGAGACTTGGGCACCCTATAATGCTCAAGTCCCGATCATAAATTCATAATGACTCACTGTTGACTGTTGATGCATTTTTACTCTATTTGCGTGAGCATGTTTTCAATGGACCTTAACATGAACTGTATTCATTCATATGGCTGTCACTAAGTTCATTCGGTAATCTATGCCCCATATGCTGTTGTATGGGATTTGACTTGGGGGTGATTAGCTTCTGGATTATTAAATCTATCTGATTTTTCTCCCCACATCACAAATGTCTGTCTTAAGTGATTTTACTGAAAATGGTTTGCTCAGGTGGTGCGTAGATGCTTCTGGTCTGGGAGAGATGCACCTTCCGTTGGTTGGGTATACTGTGGGTCTCACAATTTTAGTGCTGCTGCCTGGGGGCGGCAAATTTTAAATCCATTTAGGACAAAAGCTGATGCGCCTCAAAAAGAGGACCCTTCTGTTGATTATGGGCTTCACATTTGCAATTATGAACTTGGGATTATATTTACTTTTCCTCCTACAGAAAATAATATTTGTCCTGAAGTTAAAAGCACTAAATTAGATGATATAATTCTGCCGTTTGTTGTGCCTGCTCCTAAATATGGAACTAGTGATCAGCCAGCTACAAAGCAGGCTATGAGGGAGGCCATGGTTGAACTTGCTGAGCGAGAGAGGGAGAAACATACAGAAGAAGAAATGATGGAAGAGCTTGATGACGAAGAGGAATATGTCGAGCTTCCAGAAGAACTGGAAGCAACCAATTATGTTGAACAGGAGAAGGAAGAGGAGAAGGAATATGCTGATATACTCTGGAGTCAGGTTGATTCGTCCCAGAGTAGTTGAACTTCTGCAGGAGCAACATTAGGAGCTGGAAGCAATGTTATGGAGTTGTCAATAGGTATTTGATACACGATTGTTAAGGTAAGAAATATATTACAAAAGGCATGTGGACTATATTTTTTGTCAGGGGACTCGTGTAGCGTGACTCGGAAATTAAACAGAAACAGTGGCAAATGTTCAACTTGCCACGACTTGAAGGCTTATCCTGAGATATCAGGATTAAAGAGCGAAGCCATTGAGTATTCCTGAGAAAGTGATTTGGAACACTAATCCTAGGTTGATTTATATTTGAAGCAGAAAGTGGTATTTCACAGACCTCTTTGTGGTTCAAGCCCATTTTAGGCTTGGTAGATTACTGGTACCACTTTATAGCCTCAGGTCCCCTATCCTAGTTGTTGCTTGGATTCCACCACAACGCGGGTTCTTGTTGAAAGATATCAGGGAGATAGATTGAAGGGCCCACTGTATCATTTATCTCAGTTAAAGGATTCAATTAGAGGATTTGAAAGTGGTGGCTACTCGTCATGCAATAGCACCAGCAGTGAAAATTGTACACTGCAATAACCCCAAGAAAATACAAGGCAGGACCAATCATAATTAGATTATGAGAATTATGTAAATGTTAGGCTTTGTAGGTGTGTCAGCGTGTAGCATTATACTTTTCTGCCAAGATATTGACGCTTTGGAAGCATGTAATTGAACAGAGACTGTTGCTGTCATTTTCACCGGCTGTTATATGGATTCCAGGGTGGCCTTAAGAATCCCAATATGAATGCCATTCTGTTGTCCAACCAGGTTGGGAAAACTGAAGTTGCAAAATCTTCAGCAGCATGCTACGTTGGATCACTATTAAGGCTTTATTGAATTCGAAGACATCCTTTGCCGGTAAACTGCAAAAGGATGCAATCACCTCTTTGATTGCAAGATCAATTGGTGTGTTGTATTGTTGGAGACAGTAGACTGCATTATGCAACCATTCTTTGGCATTTATTTATGTTAACCAGATAAAGATATGCTCTCATCATGGGCGAATAAATGTACATATGATCACTGAACTATTAGTCTATTTAGTGCCGGAGGTTTGGGTGATTCATATGAAGTCTTAAATTGTAATCTCAATGTTGTCATTGTATAAAAAGAAAATTGTATACGTGATCACTCAAAAATTGTATTGGTACATGTCAAATGTAACTGATTTCTTTTTATTTATTTATTTATAAAATTTGGCATATATATTTTCGTGATTGAATTTTATATAATTTATTGATTTTTATTTGTTTTTTAGTTAATAGTAGATAAAATAGTAAATTAATAAATAACAATAAGAAAAAAATAGTAATTATCTTTTTATTAAGAAGTATAATGATAGACAATAGCCATCAATCGTTTGCGATATCAATGTTGTGTAACTAATTTTGAAATATATTTAATTTAGGAGAAAGATAAAAATAAAAATAAATGATTAGGTACTATTTTTCTTTTGAACTATTATAACTGATAAAACATAAAATAAGGTAAAGGCCTAAAGGGTAACTTGAGTTAAATATAATTAGGGTTTGCTTGATGATTTTTAGAATTTTTTACGTAAATATTATTTTTTTTTTAAAAAAATACCCAAATAACCACTGTGCAGGTTTATTTACACAGATAGAACCATTCACTGTTCAAGCTCAGAATTCGGTTCCCGGGGAACCGAATTCTGAGCACCAAAATGTATTTTTTTTTGTTTTTTCAACTCAGAATTCGGTTCCCGGGGAACCGAATTCTGAGTTGCTTTTATATATATATATATATATATATTTTTTTTTTTCGTGCCTGAAGTATCTAGCGTCGATAGTAGTGACTAATCTCCTCGCTACGTTAGAGGCACCTCAAAGATGGGATAGCTGGCCCCAAGATTTAATGCAGTTGCATATACTTAAATATGTTTTTAATCATTTTAATAAAGTAAATTTATTTTTGATCTCTCAAATTTAAAATTATTATTTTTAGTCTTTATAATTTTAAAAAAATCTTATTTTAGTGTTTATATTCAAATTTTATTAAAAAATTTATTAAAAATTATTACATAAAATTTATCTGCTGATGTCTTTGATAGTGAAAATATCATATTAAATCTCGTTAATATTGTATAACTATCTTAATTTGTCACTTTTAAATATGTTATTAGTGACTGAAAGATTAAAATAAGATTTTTAAAAATTACAATAACTAAAAATAATAATTTTAAATTTAAAGAATTGATAAATTTGAGGTTCTAGATGCATATTTAAGAGAATAATGAAAGTTTCACCTGAAGTATGCAACCACCTAAGCCCATCCCCTCAAACATTTGATGGAAGCAAAGCGCAGCAATGAGAGGCCGAATGGTGCATGGGTTATCCGAAGCTCCCATTGACAAACCAATGACCACAGAGTGCACCACAATCCCTAGCTCCAACACCTGCACGCATTCTCACCAAATTAAACCAACAACTCCATAGACATGCAAATGCAAGCACATTTTCTAAACATATAAAAACACAACACCTGAGCCACCACACGGTAGCGCAGCAACTGTTCCGCATTGACGGCGGCACCATCATCATGGTGTCCAAATCCATGGGCATGGGCATGGGCATGGGCATGGGCATGGGCATGGGCGAACATGTGGGCTTCCTTTGTCTCGGCGGCGTGGAGGGAAGGCGCAAGAGGTAGGTTCTTCTTGAAGTAACTAATGGAGAAGGAGTCGATCATGAGAGTGAGAACCGCAGAGAGCATGGCGATGAAAGTGGTGAAGGGAAAGTTCTGCCAGGGGCGTTGGGGCAAGCACTGGGAGGTAAGATCTTGGAAGGAATCGGGCATGACGTGCATGTAACCGGTGGCAAGTATGACACCGGAGGCAAAGGCCTTAACGAGGACGAAGAGGTCTCGGTCCGGTTGCAGCGCAGGAACCGCACGGGAGAACACGGGGAGACAAACCCCAACCATGCTCGTCACCAATATGCTCGATATCGCCACCAGTTTTAGCTTCAGCGCCTTCGCCTTGTCGTGGCACTTTCCACCGTATTTCGACTCGCATTCTTCCGCCGAGGTTGTCGACGCTAGTACGAGGATCACCACGGTTACAACAAAAACGTTACGCTTGAATGAAACCGATGCCATATCGAAACTTAGTGTTACTGTGTGTGTGTGAGTGAGAGAGTGAGAGAGTGAGAGTGAGGGTAATTAGTTTTATAGCGACAAGCGAGGAGGACTACATCGCCATCGAAATTTTTGGAGTGGGGAAATTACCTTTTGCCCCGTTGAGGGGAGGCGAGAGAGTGGGGGGTTTGAGGGGTATTTCCGGAAGAGTGTGGGTGATGCGTGGTTGGCGTGTGCTCGACGCAGACTTTCACTGTTACTCTTCCATCGTGGCGCCACTGCGCGAGCGTTGCACACAGTGCAACTTTTTATGGTACACGTGTCTACACTTGCTACGTTTCCAATGTAGTATCACACGTGCAATGCTTTATAAATTGAAAAAGGTGTTTTAATTTTTATTAAAAAAAATTAACTATATTATAAGTTAAGCCTAAACTTTCTTAATAGAATTTTAATTCTTATTAGAATTTTTTTTGGAAAAAATGTTTGTCCGAAAATTAACTATAAAATTATTAACTTGTATTTTTTGAAATAAATGTTGTTCCGTCTGTTAATTATATTATATCTTATTAGTTAAACCTAATTTTTTCTTCATAATATTTTAATTTTTAATAGACAAAAAAAATTTGTTCCCATAAATTAAGTATAAAATTATCAATTTTTTTCATTAAAATAAATGTTCATAAATAAATGTTCAACTTTGTGTGTTATATAATATTTTTTCTTAAAAGTTAAGCTAAAATTTTTCTTCATAATATTTTAATTTTAATAAAAAAAATTTGGTAAAAAAACTTATCCTCTTAAATTAACTGTAAATTTATCAACTTGTTTTTATTAAAATAAATTCTCATCCCGTATGCGCTATATTATATTTTATCTTATAAGTTAAGCCTAAATTCTTTTTATCATTGTATTTTAATTTTCATTAGAAAAAATATATATTTTGGTAAAAAAAAAATGTTGACCCCGTAAATTGAAGTGTTATATCATATTTTATGTTATAAGTTAAGCTTTTGATAGTATTTAAATTTTTATTAGAAAAAAAAATTTTGGCAAAAAAGTTTATCTCCGTAAATTAAGTTTAAAACTATCCACTTGTTTGTTTGTTTTATTTTATAAAGATAGCAAAGATGGCACAGATGTTATTTTATACTTTTATCTTTTAAGTTACGCCTACACTTTTTTTTCATTGTGTACTAGTAAGATCATTCGGCCACCAGGTGACCGACACCCGATCGGCA